TGATAGGAGATCAGACTGTCCCCAAGAATGTCAGGCGATACATGTCCAATCTTGTGTGAGCCAGCCCTTGGGAGTGCCAAAGCTTTGCCTCGATTCTTGCCCTACTTTGACAGTGCACACTGTATTTTGTACCTTCACTTGTTTATGTAGAGAAGACGGGGCAAGGACCATTTCCTTAGGGGTTAATGGGGGCATCTGATCTTTTGTTATTGGGTAATTTATGGTCAACCTGATTCTATGGAAATTTATTAGAGCAGGGGGTGAGCAACTCTGCTCCTCCAGTTGTGCTTTAATTACAAATCCCAACATGCCTCTGGGAGTCATACCTGTTACTGTCAGCCTTGCAATGCCTCATGGGACTTGTAGTTCCACAACAGCTGAAGGACCGGAGTTGCCCACCCCTGGACTAGATGCTGCCCATACACATCAAACATGTCAGAGTGGTTGTACCGTTTCTAGCGCATACAATTCTAGATCCACAATGGGAAGTGTAGACAGATTGTATATGCAAGAAAGTGTTCCTTGCTGCCGACACCACTACACCAAGTGATCCCACATCCTTCAAATGCCAGTAATGTGCATTCAAAGACCAAAAAAGGAGTAGAATGGTCATATGACACATACTATCCTTTGGATTTCTGCTGTGGTATGCACTCTATGGTAACCATAAATGCTGCCATACGTAAGTGGACGTATGATCTTAGATGCTTGAAAACAACAGACCATATGCAATTAATAAAGTCCCTGCGTTGGGTTCATACGCACGTAAGTCTGCCGACTCTAGAAATCGTGGAATATTTCAGCTAGAATTCCACATTCGGACAAATGGTAGGGTTCAATGACTGCATTCCTTGAGCTGAAACGCTGCTTCTCTGTGGAGAGCCATTAGACAAAACTAGCAATTAGGATTTTGCTGAACTGCACGGCGAGTTTAAGCCAGCAGATGACCTTGATGCTGTTTTTGCTGATTTTATTGCAGAATTTTCTCCCCCCCTCTTTAAATTAATCAGCTCATCTGGTTCTGCACAGTAGCCCCGTGCCAATATTTAGGCTAAGCTCGTATTGCAATGGAGAAGATGAAGAAAAATGTTGAAAGCTTTCAGAAAAAGCATGAGAAATACATCCGACTGTAATTGAAACAAGCCAACATGCAGAGTTTTGCTTTTTTTTTTTTTACCTTGCAGTGCGGGCCTTGTGTGCCATATCATGGATTAACACAGAAACATAGCGCATTTTGTGTTCCCCTTCTTCCCCCCCTCTTTAAGTTTTCTTTTCAGGTTTCCTTTAAGCCCTGCAGGCATTAAACAGTGAAATGTGTTGCAGATTGATGACTCAAGCAGAGAGTGCAAATCCTAACAGGAACATTACTGCGGCAAGCGTAACCTAACAAGCTAAAAGGGCCATCTCTGCGTTCATTAAAGCCAAAAAGCAAACACGGATATGTTTACGCTTTCTATACCGTACGGCTGTGTGCTCCCAATAACCTCACTTTAAAAAATAAACAGATTAAAAAGGAAAAAAAAACCCAACTACAATAAGGAAGTCGTTTTATAATCCTGCATACAACGTCGTGTCTGCACTCTTGCCAAAATCAGCATAAGGAATTCATAATCGTCTTTTAATGTTATCCAGGCCCTATTTTAGCAGCGTTTTAACCCCCTCGCAGGCTTAGTGGAGGAGGACCGCTTTTCTTTTTAAGAGTGGCGCAGGAGCTAATTGGTTAATCATTTAAAGGATGGCCTGCTTTGAAAGGAAAAAAAAAATTCAATCAAATGCCTTAAATTCCTCCATGTAGAATGAGGTCTCCCTGCAGCTTCCCAGCTAGAAGGGAAGTTAATAAAGGCAGCTGTTAAGAGCCACCTGATCTCCACCACTGCAGATGAGGTTACTGCAGTCATTTTCCCCCCCTTGCTAACCTCTACTCACTAATAGCACCCATCACATTCCTGTACAGGGATCATCAGCTAAAAGAACAATCAGCCCTGCCAGGGAGCCACACCAGTCTCAGCTTTCATGGAACCCAAAAAGTGGAGAAACTACAAGCAAAATAAAAAAAGGATCCAGTGAGCGTGATCGCTTTAACACAAGCACAGACGTGACCACAGCGTAACTGAAGCACTCAGTGGGGGGTCACCGGCTCACACAGGATGAAAGTGTACACATGAAAAAGTAATGTGGTCCCCGA